GAGAGCACAAATGAAATCATGTGATCAGGGTTATGTCCACGGAGTCCTAGAGAGTTGAAATATACGTGGCCCAACCTTGAGCCTGAGGTGAAGTAACTTCAAGAAGAATCAATGTAATCAATGAGCATGCTTGGTCTTTTGCTTTCCTCAGTTGGAAGTGACTGATGGCAAAGGTGCCTGGATTCAGTTATTAGTTCATTTATTCAGCAGATTTATTGTATGAAGACAGTGCCCCAGGCCAGTAGATTCGGCCACAAATAAGACATGCTCCTTTGCTTGACGGAGCTCCCAGGGATAAAGATGCATGAACAGACCGTGCTAGTACAGAGGGCTGAACACTGTGATGGTGAGAAGCACAGAGAATGTAGTGGGCAAAGAGGAGAAGCAGCTAACCCAAGTGGGAGGAATCTGAGATCCTTCAAGTAGAGCTGAGGCTTGAAGCACAGCCAGGAAGCAGCCAGGTGAGAGGAGGTGGGACAGGGCAGGGGTTGAGCAGTGGCCACCAGGGACCGTGACAGCCTTGATGGGTGCCAGAAGGGTGGTGGTGGGAAATGGGGACACAGGTGATAAGGATTCATAGGTTTCCACATTTCAATGTTTCAGTTCCCTCTATAATATTTTACCATATCCACACATTAATTGTACTATCTTTTAGTTACCATTATTTCCCTGAAACCAATATCCAGTTTTACTTTTATAAACTTATTTTTAAAGGAATATTATAATTAGTGTGAAATAATGTATATGTTTTTGTGCTACCTATATTTTTCTCCAGTGCACATTAACATAAATGTGTAAAGGATGTGGATACATGTGTCCTGAAATCCTCTCACCCACTGATGGTGCACTCAGCACACTTTTGGAAACCTAACAGATTGACCCCAAGGATGACATTTCAGTCACAAGAAAATCTCTGAACAGTTATTTAACTGAAAAAATCTCTTCGTATGGACTGATAGGCCCAGAAATTGGACTTTAATCAGAAGAGGATATTTGACTTAGTAGCAGGGAGGAAAAGCCATGGGCCTGTGTGAATGAGCAAGCAATGCACTTATACAACATATTGAAGTTCCAGAATCTAGCCATTGGTCCAATATGGCAAGCAGCCTGGGAATCCACCCAGGAGCAAGGCAAAGCTCAGCTCCAATCTCTGCAAACATGCAATGCAAAGGGGAGAAATGATTACGACGACAGATACACGTAACCATGAAGTTCACAAAACCCCCACATCCACGGAGGTTAAGGATTGACCCTTATCAGAAGGCAAGATGACTTTTTACAACAAACCTCAGGGACCCATTCATTTTCTATTTTTACATCATGTTTCCAAATAACTAGAAGGATAATAAACTGATACCAGCCACCATTTACTGAGTACTCCCAACAACCAGGACCAAGACCATGTGATTTACGTGTGGCCCCTCATTTCACCCTTGCAAAACGTTGTGTGTTAAATATTATTCCCATTTTATAGACATAAAGCCTCAGAGTGTAGATAAGTTGCCTGCACTGTGCGGTAGGACTGAGGTGGCCAGTAGGAATTTCCGGAAGGCGTCTGGCTCAGGTGGGGGTATAGCTTGGTAACTCAGAGAACACACTTCAGGCAAATAGGCTCAGTTCCAATCCTTGCTTTTCAGTGTGATCTAGAACAAGCTACTTGAACTTCTCTGAACCTCATTAGTTAATTCACTTTCAAAATGGGTATAATAACAGTTGTATAAGTAATTAGTTTGCCTGGCTTGTAGTAAGCACTCAAAAAAAATGGCAATTGCTATTACCATTTATATTATTTAATTTATGATTATTACTTTTGAGAACTTCTCAAGTGGCCATAATTTCAGCCCCCAACCCAGGAGCACCTCCTCTAATTAGCTGGTAGAAAGATTCCCTTCACATTCTAAGAAGAATGTAGGACTCCACTAAGAAGAGAAGACTCCCTTTACTTTCAGGGAAGAAAATGCTGATTAGGGCTCTTGTACCAAGTTTGGGTATAAGGGTGACAGTTGGAAATGTCTACATTTATAAATGTAAGGTTTAAGTGTCACCTTATACCCAAATTTGGTACAGGAGTCCTAATCAGCATTTTCTTCTCTGGAAACGTCCTGACTATGGCCAGAGATCCCTGAGGTGTCTATGATCACACAGAAGTCCAGTTGGCATGCCATACTCCACTGGCATTTAGGGTTAGGTGCTTGTGTGCTCAGCCTCCTGGATCCAGACCTTTCCCAGTGTATGCTGGAGGAGGAAGGCAATTGCTTCAGCATGGGGTTGAGGGAGCTCTCCAAGAGTCAACACAAAGCCACAGCAATCTAGCAAAAGGAGAACTAGCTGCCCAGAACTGGAAGCAGTTCATTCTAGCCACCCAGTTTAGACACGGGGCACTTTCTGCAGCCTTCATTTCCTGGAGAGGTGGACATGACCAGAAACTGGTATTGGGTAGCCACCGAGGGCTTCTGAGCAGGAGAAGAGCCTGTGATGTTTTCATCTTCCTTTCTCACTAGATCCTCTCATTGCCCACTCTCCCATTTCACTAGAAATGGGTGTGTTTGCCTGATTATTCTCATATTGCCATGGCAAGGCGGGTGAGTTCAATCATGGCTCTTCATCACGAAAGGCTGTGGGAACTAAATGACTAGACTGTGACACAGAAATTGGAAGGTGAGATTGAGTTCTGCTAGGAACTCATGTCATGCTTCCTTTGTTCATCCTCCAAACTGAATTGGAATTGCTTCACTTTAAGCCATACCATCCCTCCACCTGAACTCCCTGCCTTCTTGGGGGTCTGACCTTCTCAATTACCCTCTTTCTCTTTTTCTCTCTCTGTGGAATCTTTTTCATTAGCTTTTAAACATGTTCAAGTCTTTCCCACTAAAAAATAACAAAATAACAACCACCGAAAAGCGCCTCCAGCTACATCCTTTTCTTCGCCTCTTCAAAGTCACCCTTTTTGAAAGATTGTGATGTTCTCTCTTTCCTCGACTCAGTTACCATCTTCTACCAACACATCTCTGCTGAACCTGCTCTTACCATGGTCACCCAGGCCTTCCTGTGGTTAAAGTCATGGGCAGTTTTTAATCCTTACCTAATAGTAACCCTTTTTGGCAACACTGGGAATTGGGACCACCATTCTCTCCCTGAGATATTTTCCACTGGCTCTATGGACACTGCACATTCCTGATTTTTCTCTTTTTCTGTACTGACTCTGTCCAGACTCCTCTGTGAGCCTTCCTTTGCCCGGACATTGGTTAAATATGGTTGTTTCTCAGGGTCCCGTGTGGGCTCACTTTTCTCTCCACTCACATTCTCATGCAGTAAACTCCTCTACTCCTGTGGCTTTAATTACCATCTAGACAAAGGATGGCTCCCAAATCTGTATCTTCAAACCAAATTTCTTTGCTGAATGATGCAGCCCTAAATCCAGTGGTTCACAGGCAACTCGAATTCGTATTGTCCCCCTCTCCCACAGTTTCTTCCTCCTTTTGTATTCTCTATGTCAGTGAATGGTATCAAAATCCACCCATTTTCCCAAATCAGAAACTTGGAGTGTCATCCTCAACTCTTCCCTCCCTCACCCCTGAAAGCCAATCCCCCTTTCCCTTCTGCTGCTCTCGCCTCTTTTTTATTTCTTGAATCAATCCACCTTTCTCCATCCCCACTGCTACTTCTACGCCTTCACCCACACTGCCAGGATCTGCTGAGATTATTACACTAGCCTTTCAACTAGTCTCCCAGAATCGACTTTTGCCATTCCCTTTTCTATTTTGTGGTCAGAGCGATTTGTATAAAATATAACTCCCTTGCTTTAACCTACTTTCCACAGCTTGCACTCAGAGTAATACCTGGATTCCTTATCATGTTCTAGCCCCTGCTACCCGTCCAGCTGCTCAGAGGGAGCACGGGATTCTCCGGCCTCTCCAGCAGTGTGTGAGCCCACAAACACGCCATGTACTCTCTGGCTTTTGAACCTCGGCCCTTGCTGTTCCTTCTATCTACAATTTGAGTTCCACCAACACCACTCCCTCAACTTGATAACACCTTCCATTCCTCAGGTTCCAGTTTAGCAGATTACCTTGGGGTTGCCTTCTTTAACTGCCTGGGACAATGGTAGTGCCAGCCTCTATGCTTCCATAGCCCTCTTCATTTTCCCATTGGAGTTATTTACAACATTGAGTTCTGCTATAAAAATTGTAGTTGAAATTTACTTGTCATTGTATTCTGTCAGAAAGCCATTTTCAGAGTATAGCAGTTGTTCATGTACATGCATTTATGAATTTAAATAAGACCAGAAGAGAAAAACCAAAGTTTTCTTGGGGTAAAGAGAACTTCTCTCATTTAAGAGTATTTCTCGGTTGCTTAGAAGTAGCTCATTTACCCAAAATTTTGTTTTGTTTTCTTATTTCAACATGTTTTTTTCTTCGGGTGAAAGGGAGGCCACAGGAATTCTTAAAGTAATAGTGGCTTTAGAAAGGACAAACAACTCTTGGAAGAAAGCCTTAGAGTCGAGGTGTGTAGAGGGAGTTGTACAAAACACCAATGAAGTTTCACTGGCCAGAGAAGTGCTGCCCATCCTCTCTGCTCAGCCAGACATCCTCCAGCAGGACCCAGCCCTGGTTCTGCTCTCAGAGGGTTGGGCCATCCTTCAGCTCTGCTCTGCAATGCCCTTTGAATTTGCTGCCATTGTACCAGGGACAACATCAAATTTATTCCTGCATCTCAAGGCCTTTGCACAATGACTGACACTCAGTGGGAGGCTGCTTCACCCCAGGCATGGGCTCTGGGGAAAACTGTGACATTATTTTAAAGATTCAAACAGGGTTTAAAAGGAGCGTTTTAAACTTCAAAAAACTAAAATTAGAATAGGCTACGATTGATAGCAGTTAGAGTAATTGAGAAAGATTCCAACCAAATACCCAGGGATTAATTTATTTTAAAGCATGCTCTTTAAGGTCATGGACTTTTGTAGGTGAAATAATGACATGTTAAACTTTCTCAGTTCAAACTTATTTCAATCACCACACATTTATTGCGCATCTTCCATGTGTCAGACAGTGTGTTGAGTGCTGGGTACATAGGTGAGTAGGATGTGCCCTGTGGCCACTTTCATTTGGAGAATTACCACAAGGTTCTGCTAGGATACTATGTGCTAAGTCATGACTCACAGTGGCATGAGAACCCCTCAAGGACCTGTGATAACAAGGCCAGCCCAGGCGGGATGCAGGAGGGAGGGCTCTCCTTTTTCCCCGGTGAGTGATGGAGGCCCACCCACCCCATCCACCCTTCATCAGGTCTGCAGAACACATCCTCCCACCCCCTACCAGGGCTTGCACTCTCTGAGAGGTACTAAGAATTTGTTCTCAGACCTCTGTATAACTGTTCTCATTTGGAAATGGCTGGTCTCAGGAGACTCCTTAGTGGTGAACATAGTTGCCACTGGACCTCAGTCAACTGGAATGACCTTGCAGTGTGATCCAGACATACCCTTCCTCTTTTGGCCACCTTTCTGTGATCTCAGGGATTCCCCTCTACTGTGCCCCTGCCCGATGTCCCAATGATATCTTGGACAATACAAAACCTCTCGCTACTTCAGAAATGGCTCTATGACTTCTACATGGACTGCAAGTCTCAGCCAATGCAGAACTCACGCTGATAGGAATCGTAAGGCCTCTTTTAGCACTCTGTGTCCTTGGAGTGCTCTGGATGGTGCCTCTGTGTGGCTGATCCCCATCATGGCTGTGTCTTCCCCCTTGCTTCACTGACAGGGACTTCACTATGCCCTCAGCCAGTTGGTGCCAGAGTCACTAATATTTCTGAAAAGATGATGGATTCCCAGGCTCCCCCAAAAGGCCAAAAGGCCTTCTTAGAACGCCAGGGAACTGTTAGAACCTTTCATTTTAACTGATACTTTGTAAATTCTCTTCTTCCTGCTGTATGTCTCAGTCTTCCTGCCCTCCGATATTCCTAAAGTCCTATTCCTCGACCCTCACTGGTTTCTCTGCTCTCTTCATAAGTGCACAGTTAAGAAAAACTTTGTTCTCATTTAATTTCCATTATCCCAGGTGGCCTTGGCAAGAACCCAGTGGCCTGGCTCCACATGTAATGTGGTGGGAAGGAGATACATGGAGAGGTGGAAGGTGGGAAGAAGCACATAATTTCAGTAGTGTATGAATGTATTTGGACACCCAGGTGATACAATAAACACATAATCTGTCGATTTATCTACCTCTCTACAGTCATTCATGTCTTCGAGTGCTGGAAGGGACAGGGAGAGGGTGTGGAAAGGTGGGGCATAATCTCCAAGAATTCTCCACAAATCACCTCCACTTCCATTACCCTTGACCCGGGAACATTAATTAAACACCTCCCACCTGCCCCCGTGTGACCTCTGCCCACCTGACTCCCAGTGGCTGCAGGTGTGCTGGCTGAGCAGTCCCCTTTCTGTGCTGGCTGAGCAGTCCCCTTTCAGCCCACGCCCTGGGCTGCACAGCATGGCTGCAGGTTCCATCTCTTTAACCTGGCTCTCAGGGCCATGGGCCACTGACCATTGTGCAAAGTGTAAGTAAGTAAGTAAGTGTAAGTAAGAGTCCAAATTGGATTTAGTCTTCTGTGAGATGATGAGGCAGCATATGTAGCTGAAATTTAGAGCATTGGGGGTCTCACTGACAGTATTCTCCCCACGGAGCTTCTTTGAAGGTGTGCGTAAAGCCCCCTGAAGCTAAATGTGCCAGTGGAGGAGACACTAGATGGGAACCAGCCTCTCCCATCACTTCATGCCAAAAGTGTGAGGGTTCATTCCCTTCTTTCTGGGTATCTCAAGAACCTTGATCACTATGATTTCCTGAAGCAGGAGCTTTATGTCTATTATCACTAATTCTCAGGAAGGTAGGCTGGGGTAATACAGTGGTTCTCAAAGCATGGTCCCTGGACCAGCAGCATCAGCAGCACCTGGAAACTTGTGAGAAGTGCATGTTCTCTAGTTCCACTCTAGACCTGCTGAATCAGGAGCCCAAAGGTGGGGCCTATGATCTTTGTTTTAACAATACTTCTAGGTGATACCAATGCATACTCAAGCGTGAGACCCACTGGGGTAAGTGGTTAAGAGCAAGGAGTCAGGTTGCCCGAGTCAAAATCCTGACTCCACCATTGTGTGATCTGTGAAGGGCCTTTGTCTCTCAGTTTTCTCATCCAAAATTGGGAACAATAAATTACCTGCTACTACTTCACAAGATTACAGTGAGGAAGAGATTTCATGCATGTAAGGCACTTAGATAAGTGCCTGGCATAGAGAACCTGCTCATGAATGTTAGATACCCTTCATCGAAGGTAGGTAATATTTTCCTATTACACAGATGAGGAAACGGAGGCTCAGAAAGATTCATGACTGGCCCCGTGCTGCAGAGGTAATGTGTCTCACTCACTAGCGACACATCTCCTTCCCTTCAGGCTTCATGTGTTCCTGTAGTTCATCTGGGGTGTAGGGGTGGGGCCTTGTGCAGGGCATCTGTGGCGGTTGGGGGTGTCTAGATCTTGGTCGTGCCCACCTCACTGAAAACTGGGCCTCGAGGCACCCTGGCCTTGGCTTTGCTGACCCCTCATGCTTTCCTCTTGTGCACTTTGGGTTCTCGCTCTCTCCATTCTGGGATCTATGGTGAAACCAAGCCAAAGGGTTTAACAGGACTTTCACCTTGACCCTGCTTTGTCCACAACCAGAAGATGAGCTGGCATTGGTGGAGGTGGCAGTGAGAATTCGGGGTTAAAGATTCTGCCAGAGGAATTTAGTGACAGATTAAAATTCATTCCTGTGGAAAATTGAGAGTAGAATGATACTCATGGATTGGGGTCTTTGGGGTAATTAGTAAATTGTGCATGGAATTGGTAAGCAATTAATAAAGGGAAATTTTCTCTTCTACTAGTGTGGTGGTTTGGGGTCCTTTGCAGCCTCAGGCAAACTTGCTGAGAGGAGTTCTGTCCATCCACTTCCATTCTCCAGGGGTTCAGCACATGGATGGTGATTTAAGATGAGCTCCCCTGAATTAATGCTGTACCCCCAGGCCAGTGGGCTGCTCTCAGGGGGTTAATTGTTCAGGGCATCTTGGCCAGTGATTTTAGAAGGCAAGAACCACCCCATATCAAAGTTAACAATGACTAGGGGAAAAGGCTATTATCAATGTAAATATGTATTAAATGAGCTACCATAACACCTTTCACTGCCTCATATCTCTCCACTCCCAACTGCACATTCATAGATAAACCACAAGCAAGCAGTCTACATTTACAAAATTGGCCTGGATGTGGACTTTTCAAATGCAGTGTGTAAACTAAAATCAGGGTTGATAGTGTATTCATGGTCATTGTTTGTGTTTATTTGCCAGCGACTTCTTAAGCCTCTTTTATTCAGTTTTTCTTTTGGGTCACATCAGTGCCAGTGAGTTTAATATATACTGCTTCTTGGCATTCATGGGGTCAGGGATGTGTTCCCTCCCTCCCACATTAGAAACAAGAAAGACAGTTTTTAAGGATTCTCTTGAAATTTGGGGACAACCCACTGGGGTCCAGGTATACACATTCTGACACCATTTTACGTAAACCCAGACATGCTTCTGCTCATTTTAATTAGACAGATAAAATTAGCAAGGAGATTAAGGTAAAAGGAGAAATTAAAAATAATTAAATGTTAGGTGGAATTTACAAAAGTGAATTGAACGATGAGGTACAATAAGGAATGTAAAGAGAAACACAGACACATTTGAAACATTCCTCGGATGCCACGCGGCTTAAGCCAGTCCATAGGTAAAGCAAGAATTCTCCCTTGTCACTTCTTGAATTGCAGATTCCAGTGATGTGAAAGAACATTCTCCAGAAACACTTTCCTTCTCCTTTTCTTCAGATGTTATCAGGAATAATTAATCAGTCAGTATCATTCCAGGATGGCCCACACTGCATCCAATTCAAACCACTCACCTGTTTCCTGTCTGAATTTGCAAGCTTTTTATTTTTTTCCTTTCATTTTATTTTTCTCCCTCTCCTCTCTTCCCATTGAGCCAATAGGCCGATTGGGCCAACCAGAAAGCCAAACCAACACCATATTCCAGCCCCTTTGGATTTCCTAGGGACAAAGACTTCCCAGTTCTTCTTTCTTGTTTGCATCTGTTATGAACAAGCACAGTCATTTTATAACGCAGACATACATATGTGTGCTTTGGCACACGGAAACAGGTTTTTCTTTCTTTTTTTTTTTTTTTTTCTCCAATTTGTGGTTTCTTTTTCCTTTTTGCAGAAAATGCAAACAAAAGAAAAACGAGGTTTTCAATTGAAGGTACATCTCTTCTTCAATATGAAGACATTAATTGAATTGGTTGGATCCCCATGCAGTGGTCAGCGAAGTCCTTTGGCAACTGACAGAACAACATCTGGAGACTCAGGAGCTGGGTTTTATTTGAAGAAACTTCCCTACAGGAGTCATGAGCAAAGGGAAACGAGTGTGGGAGAAGGGAGGGGACTCTCAGGGAGGAGTACAAAAGGAGAAAAGAAAAGAATGTCATTGGTGAGGAAGAAAATGGAACACTGCTTCTGTTTCTTCCGTCTACCTCCTTCCCTTTCTTCCTGTGGATGGGCAACTCCAGCCCACTGAGGATGGGAGCTGGGTTTACTCTTGTTCTCCTGATGCATATTGTTTTGCCTTCACTTCTGTTGAACATCACCTTTTTATATTTTTATTATTATATATTTGGTTTCCCACGGCATCTCAAACATGCTTCTGTCACTGAGAAATGAAGGCTGCCTATTAGCAACAGGTCCGGTTGATTCTTCACTGATGGAAATGCATTCCTCAGCTGAGAAGCCAGTGTCTCCAGTACATTCCACAGTGGTCAACCTCTGGTCCCCCTTGACCTTGGCGCTTTTCCCTCCTCTCTTTCCCCAAGAAACAAGAGTTCTCATGCCATTGCTGTTGGTGACTGACTCATCTGGACCCTCATAGAATGAATGCTGTTCAGGATCTTCTTCTGATGGCCTGCTAAGGTGACCCCTATTCTCAGGAGGTCTCTAGGAGGAAAGAGCCAGAAAAAAAAGTCACTTTAGTGTTAGGTCAGCTGTTCGCAGATCAAAACTCATCACTAAAGCCATGCTCCTGGGAAGTAGCCATGCTACAAAAATCCAACTAGCTTAAGTTTACCCAAGTTTTTGGCAACTTGCAATTAGAGATTTTCCTGCTCACTTTCAGTTTCTCCCTCTTCTCTAATACCCCCTCAGCTTAGACAATCCTGGGAGTGCTGCCCCTTGTTCCAGGGGTGTGTTCCTTATGTACGGGCTCTAAGGCAGCCCCTTCATTGTCTCCTGAACCTCACATGGACTGGAATTTTCCTCTGCTATTTTTTAACACTCCAAGTGCACACTATATGGGGCTTAAATTATTCTGTGGAGTTTTCTGCCTAAATTAGTGATCACCCGCTGAGACTGAAAAGATATGGGGCTCACCTGGTCTTCTGATGTTTTCCCCTGAGTTTCCATTTTCTGCCTCCGTTTGAATTTTAATGTATGTATTTTTAAGAAGAGTGGTCTCAAAATAACTAAAATATCTGCCCAATCAGGAATCCAAGGAATATGTCCAGGATAGAGCACTGAAGTGGATTAATAAGAACACGTTCATGGCTTATAGTTGACCTGTGCTAGACCCATGCATTCTTTCTCAGTTAACAATAATACATAACACTGCTTGAATGCATGCCACGTGCCATACACTATCTCATTTAAACCTATGTGAAAGCATTTCACAAAATTAGAGAAACCACTGCAAACTCAATGATGATAAAAATTTAACAGTAACCATTTTTTGTGTGCATGCTATGGGTAGATAATGGATCAAGTGCTTTGCATGTGCCATTCCATTAACCTCCCATCACAGACTAATGAGATGGGCATTATTATTTATAATAATTTATAAATTATTTATAAACAAGGCAAGCAGGGCTCAGAGAAGTTAAGTAATGTGCTCAAGGTCACACAGTAGGTAAGCAGTGGTGGAGCTGGTATTCAAATACAAGACAAGTTGGTTCTCAGCACCCCTGCAGGGATGCTGGCAGAACTCTTCTAAGGTCCTGACTGTATTTCCTCTAAAGCCCCCCAAATCCAGCACAGCTTATTGCTTTGTACACTGCACATCAGACCCTGGTGAACCCTTGGCTGGATCTCTGTCCACAATGCCTTGGCTGTCCCGCCTCATGCCCCTTTCTGTTAGTGGTCTGTCTCCCAAGGGATGCTGCTGGTTGAGATGGTCAAAGTGTTCGTGTCTTTTTGGCAAATACTTTAGGGAGGCATGCTTGAATTTTGAATTCACAGATTGTCCCACAATCTATTTTATTAAGTTGCTTATTTTCCTTTTCCTTCTTTTACTTCTCAATAAACAAATCAAATTGCTCTAATAGTGTGTGGACATGCTTTACTTTGAACGAAATCCCTTAATTTACAGTTTCACTTTCCTTTTGGTCTTCCCCTTATCTTTTTCATGTGACTATTCTCAGACTGAGAGAATTCTTTTAGATCCTGGGGGATTATGTGACAATGGCCCCCATACGCAGGCAAATCACAGTGGGAAAATGGAGTAGCCAGTCTTCATAAACACCTGATTCTATCTCTGAACTCAGTCCCTCTGATTATCTAGGGGCATCAATTTTCACTCTAAAAGATGAGGAAGTTGGTTTTTCACTGGGAAGTGCTTCTTTTCTATTTATTAATTTTTGCTGTCTATTTGACAGTCATTCTTAATGGCAGGAACCATCTTTTTATGGCATCACCAGGAAATGAATCTAGTTTTTAAGAAATGTATTCTGTTGTTCAGTGGATCCAAAGCTAGACATACATTCAAACCATCTCCCTGGAGAAAGTGGTGGCTCCACCATTTCTGGGAAAAAAAAAAAAAAAAGACCTCAGAGAGGTGGAGCTGGACTCTAGGAATACTGACAGAAAAACTGTCAGAATGTCAGGAAGCTGTCCCTGGGGGCTCAGCTACGAGGTGGATCACCACCACTCTTTCCTGGGACTCAGCAACCGGTTTGCCCCAGTTGCAAGGAGGAAATCCCAGCACCTTGCACTGTGCCCATTGTATAATAGGTGATCAATATGTGTTTGCAGATTGATGGATGAATGAATCTTCTACCATAGGAAATGTGTATTACAGGCTGCCAGATTCCACAATATGTGCTATTGGTACATGTTGTAGCCCACGGAGCCCATGAAGTCCCCCTGTGTGTGTGTGTGTGTGCGTGCGTGTGTGTGTGTGTGTGTGAAGGGTAGAGTTAATTTCCTAGGTAGGATTATGTGAGCTTCTGTGAGTATAGAAGGTGAAATTTGACCCTTGCCAACCTTAATCCAGTGGTTCCCAAACTTTGCTGCACATTAGAATCACCTGAGGAGCTTTAAAAATCTCTGATGCTCAGATCTCACCACAACTAATCAGAAGGTATGGGAGTGAGAACCAGGCATCAATATTTTTTAAAGGTCCTCAGGTGATTCCAGTGTGCAGCGAAGCCTGGGAACCACTGAGACCCTGGGGTGGACAGGTAGCAGAACATTGAACTGGCAGCCAGAAAAGCAGGCTTGTGTCTCAACTTTGCCACTTGTGAGCACTAATGTCACGTAAGTTCAGAATCTGCAGAATGGAAGGGGTAGAACTAGATAAATATTTCCCAGACTACAGTTCTATAAAACTCTGCCCCTCAAAAATATGGTTCTATGGTATTTAATAATTTTAAATGGGTTCCTTTATTTCAGGATTTCTCATGGCCTTTATAATGCTAATATGAGCAGTGAATCTCCAAGAGGGTGATAAAGTGCACAATATTTCCCAAATTTATTTGACTGCAGGACCTTTTTTCCAAGGAGAACCTATTAACATTACCCACAACTGGTGCTTCTCTGAACATTCTTAGGGGAAATGCTGGACCACATGGATCTTTAAAACTCTTTCTGGCTCTCATCTTATTTGAATAATTTTATTTTGTGTATTCCTCCAAACTCCTGTGGGAGCCACAGACTGGTAAATAATTGTGGGGGATGGAAATGCATGCTTATTGACAACTGCTATCTAAGGACAAGCCCCCCACACATCTCAGACTGTTGCTGAATCAGTGCAATGCTTTTCCTGCTATGTTATTTAAAGTACTGGCTGGCTGTGTTCTTTCCATCTGGATGCTCTCTTTGATGAGTCGAGTTTAAAAACTTAAATGGGGAAGAGACTCTGGGTGATTAGGCAAATGACATATGGCTATAACTTTGAAGAACTCTCATTTGGGGCCCAGAGTGGATTTCCACCTCCCCACCCCACCCTCACATCCCCCTACATCTTTCCAAGGTGCTCCCTGTCCAGGCCTGGTCTATACAGAGATAGAGCTCCAGGGATGAGGCCAGAAATAGGACTCACAGCATCTGCAATAGCAGGGAAGGAGCACTGACCCCTAGGTGTGGTCTGGACAGAGAGATTCTCATCACTTACTCTGATGTCATCTGGGTGACCAGCTGGAGGGAGGTGAAGCCAGCAGTGAGGAAACTGTCCCTGTACTGGACCATTTTGATGGCGCTGAGCCAGTCATCCACGGTGGTAAAGGCCGTGAAGTCTGGGATGGAGCGGTCGAGCAGGGGCTGGGAAGGCCTGGTGAGACAGAGAGGGGCAGATGACCACACACTGCAGAGATGCATGGACAGTGCCCCAGTCTGGCCTGACAGCTGACTTCACGGAAGGCAGCATTCCTGATGGAATGAGGATTATAGTGGAGCCCTGGGCTGAACCTTTCTTCCTCATGGAATCCTAAATCAGCATGACTTCTACATCCAGGTGGCCAGTGTCTCTGCCTCTGGGTACTGTCACAGGTCAGTTAACCCAGACAGGCAGATGGACATAGCGTTCAGTCTGAAGGGAACAGAAGGCTCCCAACTCCTTTGTAAACCAAAATTTAGGAGCCTCACCATTCAAAGACATGATCCTTTTAAAAATATGCATATTTTACCACAACCTCCCCAGATATATTGGTAACATTTTTTCCTAGTTTCATCTGTAGCTATTTTAAAAAAACAAAAATGGAGCAATGAGAACCACTGCCGACCTTCTTTGGCACATTTCAAAGCAGATACCCAAGTATCCAAACCAGAAATCCGGGTGCTATCTTGACATCTCCCTCACCCTCAACATCCATGTCCAATCCTTCACCAAGTCATAAAGATTTTGTCTCCCAAATTGCCAAAACTCATTTACATTTTTCCACAACCATTATCCTGATTTAAGACACTATTTTCTCTATCACGATCATTGCAATATTCTCCTACCTGTCTTTCTTCACGCATGTGCGCTCTCCTCAACATAAGGCCCACACTGTAACTAGACACTGTTTAAAAAATTTGAACATGATCACGGTTAGAGGCTGCTGGCTATGCCCCTGACCATGAAACCACCCATATTTAGGGATCACCATTTCACTAGACTCACACAGCGGTGATGGTTGCCACAGTCTTGAGACTTGCCGGGTTCCGGATCATCTTGTCTAGGGTGTTGACAATCTCTGCAAAGCGGGGCCGGCTGTTCCGGTCCTTCTGCCAACAGTCCAGCATGAGCTGGTGTAGAGCAGCTGGACAGTCCATGGGTGGGGGCAGCCGGTAGTCCTGCTCGATGGCATTGATGACCTGCAGTGACATACAAGGAACAGGTGTGACTGCGTGACTGCCACCAGCCAGTCACTCACAAATCATCCCCTTTATATCCAGGCTGGCTCAGATGCCCTTGCTCTGTGCTCGCACACCTTCCGCTGTAATGGATTTTCTGTGCACTTGGTTTATCCCCCTAGACTTTGGGCTCCTAGAAAGCAGGGGCCACATCATAGTACTTCTTTACGTCCCCAGTTCCTGGTGCAGGGCCTGACACACATGGACCTCGGTAAATGTTTGTTGAAGAATGAGCCAGTGAACAGCTTGAGCATCTCCACTCTTTAAGAAGACATAGGGCCCAATTCTGCCTTACTGGAAGCTGGTGGCACCAGGGGTGATGAAACAAAGACATGGGAAACCCAGTGAACCCACTATTTATAAAGGATGTCCTCAAAACTTGTGGTGGACTCATTCTTTCATTTGGAAGGGAAGAGAAAGGGAGGAAAGGGATTAGCATTGGTGGAGCACTTACTCCATGCTAGAGACCCTCTAGATGCCTCCTCTGCTTTATTTGTCATAACCCTCATGAGGCAGCAACATGAATGGACTTGGTTAAACAAATTGGTTCAAATCAATGACAACAGTCAAAATAACAAGGTGGTCCAAAATGAATACTGTCAATCAGATTTTGGTAATTTTCACAAACTCCAGACAGTAATTTTGTAAAGATTTTAGGAACATTAAGTACTTTGTCTGTTTTTCAGATCTTTGTGTTTTTTCATCCAGTACATCTTAACTTCAAATCCTTTTAAATCAATTATGCCTACTCTGTGCTTTTTACATTAAAAAAATAATTGTAAGTGACCCAAGCGCTAAACATATGAATTTATTATGGTACACCTACAATGCAACAGAAGGCCTAAAATACGATGTAGGCCTTAAAGTGATACTACAAAAATCTATCTATTGAAATGGAAATATGCTCATATTGTAATAGGCAAAAGAGTTGGCTGCATAACTTCAGGTATAGTATAATCTTGCTTTTGTAAAAAACGAAATAAAAACCAACTATTATACACATGCATAGAAAAGACCTTAGAAGGATATACAACATGGTGTTAATAGCAGTTGCCTCTGGATAGGCAGAAACCTGAATGTTTTTAATGTTTTTCTCTTTGCTTGTTTGAATTTTTTATTTTCTATAATAATCCTGCATTGATTTTATATTAAAATAAATAGTTAAAGCATTTTAAACAACAAAGGAAATAATTTGGACTTCAGGGGGTTTTTGGTGTTTTTGCCTCTACTTATAAATAATCCAATTCATTTCAACTGATTATTCTTTCTTTTTTATATACTTTATAAATTGGTCAAAAAGTGAGTATTTTCAGTTAGTTTAGTTTTTACAATTTCTATGCACAGTATGTAGGACATGAGACAGGACATGAGATAAAATGATAACCAAGTCACTGGAGATAATCAAGGTTTATTAATTCTTCCATTGAATAGGGTGAAAATCAAGCATACAAACCATATCAATTTTATCACTATATTCAAAAATCCAGTGACTGGGAATAGTCTCTTTTGAACACTGTGTTGCACTGACAATCTTTTTTCTCCTCTAAACTGTAGTCAATCAAATTCCCCTGCTATCCTCTGAGGACAACCGTTTTAACCCCATTTCTCCATGAGAAAATGGAGGCATAAACAGTGAAGTAACTTGCCCAGGGGCACGCATCTAGCAAAAGATGGGGCTGGGAATAAATCACAGCGGTGCTTGATTTTAGGTTTTGAATACTTCAAAAGCTGCATTTCCTAGGCCTCTGTTGGGCTGTCAGAGTAATCTCAGCCTGGAGAACAGCCCCTGGAGGTGTCTGATGTCTTCTCGGTATGCAACAAGGGCATGGAGCTAAACTAAGTAATCTATGAGAATGAGCAGCGGGGCATTCCCATCAGCCTGGCTCACAGACCCCGCACCCTTTTCCAGTTCCTTCTAAATAACTAGATTGCGGGTCCCAGTCACAGAATCTCCAAGTGGGATTACCCATTGAATGGCCCCTGGAGCTCCTTCTGGGTTACATAAGGGCAAGTTAGGTAGGGCCAGCAGGAGGAGCTAGAGTCCAAATTCAACCTCTCATGGTGCTAGGGGTCCCCAAAGTCTTCCAGTGCAGGCCAGTTAATGTTCCTGGTGGTCCCCTAAACTAATGCCATCTCTGCTCAGATCGTTAGATGCTAGAGCCCCAGATACTAATTTTCCTCACTGACAAGCTCTACCACCTGTCCTGGAACAAGAAAGAGCACTGGAGTCAGGGCCTTTCTGTGAGAGCACAGCTCCATGGTGTGACCAGCTGATCCAAACTCTTCTGGCAAGGGAACAAGAGAATGAGGACCCATACACATGCTCAGTCTTCTCCCTGTAAACTCTAGACTGAATGGAACTCAATTCTGTTTCCCTTGTTGCCTCCAAAGCATGGCATCATGGCATCCCACTGGCTTTTTTTTTTTTTTTTTTGAGATGGTGTCTCACTCTGTTGCCCATGCTGGAGTGTAGTGGCACAGTCTCGGCTCACTGCAACCTCCACCTCCCAGGTTCAAACAATTCTCCTGCTTCAGCCTCCTGAGTAGCCGGGACTACAGGCACGCGCCACCATCCCCTGCTGACCTTTGTATTTTTAGTAGAGATGGGGTTTCACCATGTTGGCCAGGATGGTCTCGATCTCTTGACCCTGTGATACGCCCACTTCGGCCTCCCAAAGTGCTGGGATTACAGGCACGAGCCACTTTTTTTTTTGAAGACTGTTCTGGTATTTATGTTTTGTATTTGCTCTTTGTTTGGTATGTTTACTTTCTTTTTAAGAGGACATCAAAAAACCACTGATTTCTCCTTTCTGGGCGGGTCAGCTAGGAGCACAGGTCTATTTGGCTGTGTTGGTGATAGTACTACATAGTGCATAGACCTTGGAAGGCTGGTTTCAAATCCAAGTTCCATTTCTTATTAGCTATAGAACCTTAGGAGAGTCACCTGACTTCCTGAAACTTCACAGATGAGATTGTTACAAAGATTAAATGACACCGAAGTGATGTGTGTTGAGCACAGCACAGATGAGTAGTAGGATGAATCCTCATCACACAGAAGGTGTCATTACGGCTGTGTCTATTATAGTAGATGTCTTCCCGGCAAAGAAGGGAGCTACTACTGCTCATTTTGGAGGTCCAGGAAGATAGCGTTTAAAAGCACCAAGGACTTTTCTCACTTTGCAGGGTAGAGCGTAGCTGTGGGAACCCTCTACCATGTCTGTGTTTAGAAAATGGGACTTTACTCCATTTGTTACTTTTGTAAATAATTTTGTATTTATTACTTGAGCGGATAATCTGGGAGCATTAATGCTTCTTGCGCATAGGGAAAAAAGTGTGCTTTTACCCTTCAGTCCAAAGGAAAAAATACTGAGGTCTTTCATTGGTATATGAGTAGCATTTATCCATTCAAGTCTTTGATTGAAGTACTATGCCTTTGGAGATTTGTATTATCTTCTTTAGGATTTGTGTGTTTTCTAAATTTCTCAGCACATAAAATTTATAGTCAAATTACAACATCATTATATCAGAAAATAACTTTGGTCTTCTAATAGGACTTTGAGATCATTCTCTGTCACACTTGCCTCACTAGCAGGTATGGGGAACAGGGAGGAGTAGAGAAACACCTTCATTCTGGCTATCTGATGATGGCTGTAAACGCCAGTGACCAGGTTTGAATTGTATGGAAAGAGATGGCCTAAGGTTGGAGGCCTAGTGTGTCCTACTGAGCAGAGTTGAAAATGGAAGTGAGTTCTGGGCTTCTTTCATTGGTCCATAAGAGGATGAGATAAGTGGCTATTGAGAAGATTGAAGATTAGAATGAAATCAGATGGCATTTCCAGAAAGAAGTAAAAGTAAAGCTGTGAGGGTAAGGAGACCAGTCCAGGCAACTGTTACCAAGAGCTCTCTGCTGTCTCACTTTGAAAGTTCAGCAACAACTCTTTTGGCCATTGCCAAGGCCAGTGTAAGCAAATGTCCTGGGATCTAATTAAAGGGGCAGGGAGGAGGTGTGGTGAGGGCTTGCCTTTATTCACCTGTACTGAGAAATGGTAGGTACGCAGGTTCGGTAGGGATCAGGTGCAGGTAGTTTGACCCCAGGTGCTCTCTGGGACTGGATGGAGTGACTAGAACTCCTCTGGGAAATGGGCAGAGCCCCTCCTCTTGCCCTTGCATTTTCAGGGCCTGCTCCCAGCTGCCCCCAGACACGTATTTCCCATTAGTGAGTCAGGCTGTGGGTAGTGCCTACTCGACCTTGCACTGGAGAGAGGGAAGTGGAGGAGCTCAGAGTAGTGGAGAAACCAGGGTAGAGCGGGTTAAGTCAAGCTCTGATGTTTCAATAAGACTGCAGTTCCTCTCCACAGACACTGCCACTCTCATTATCTCTGTCAATCAGATCCAAGCAGCAGAACTTCCAAGTTGCTCTCTCTGGCTGACAAACTCTCTGTACATGTTCAAAGGCCTTCCTGGGCTCTGGAAGCCTAATTACCAGCACTCCGACTTGCCTCTGCAATTCTCTTCCTTAAAACCTTTCAATTGTCATCTGTAAAATCCTTTACCGCCACCACCTTGGTGGTTTCTGATGAGTGAGGCTTCAGTCCAGCAACTGGGAGCCCCTCCTGGCTCTCTCCCAGGCCAGGTTGTAAGAAGCTTTCTGAATGGGCATGAAGTCACCTCTTGCCTCCCACGGGGAGCAAAATTGTACTTGAGACAATGCTTAGGGGCTTTATTTTGAAGAAGCACAGCAAAATTAGAATAAACTGCTACTCTACAGATGTTCTTATTCCCTCTGAAACCCATCTCAAATGTCAAATATCCAGGAAGTCTTCCCTTACCTCCTCCACTCAAATGTTCTCAAAGCCCCATGTTTATGCCACTGGACTATAAAACCCTCAAGAATAGAACCAGCAAGCACAGTGCTTAGTCACAACTAGCATCCACTGACTGTGTGTTGAATGAATAATTTGGGAATTCTGGAAGTCTAATATCAGAAATTTTATTTGTTTTCAGCATTGACAGAAAATATCTTGAATGTGAAATCTTGCTTGTCAGTGAGTTTTGTAATTCATTCTGTAGGTGCTGAATTGTTCTTAATCAGATTAAGGTATTGGGCAGGATAAGATGGGTCTGATTTTTCTTTTCTTTTCTTTTCTTTCTTTTTTTGAGACAGGGCCCCGCTCCGTCACCCAGGCTGGAATGCAGTGGCGAGATCTTGGCTCACTGCAATCTCCGCCTCCAAGGCTCAAGCAGTTTTTGTGCCTCAGCCTCCCGAGTAGCTGGGATTACAGGCATGCGCCACCACGCCTGGCTAATTTTGTATTTTTAGCAGAGACAAAGTTTTACCATATTGACCAGGCTGGTCTTAAACTCCTGGCCTCAAGCAATCCACCCGCCTCCACCTCCCAAGGTGCTGAGACTACAAACGCGAGCCACTGCGCCCTGCTGGGTCTGCTTTTCCTAGCTAACATGTTATACTCATTCAGCAGCTGGTATAGACAGAACCAGGGTGCAGCTGATTTCATGAAAGCAGGCTTTGTACTAACTCCACCACTTACTGATTTGACATGCTCCAGGAGCAGAGGCAAGGTGTTGCTAATCACAGATAATAGAGGACGTAGACACCAGCCATGGTTGACTTCAGGACCTGGTTAAGGATGCAGTCATTTCACCCACTCCAGGCTGGAGCCACTCTGCCCATGGCAACAGGGAGTACTGTCATAGAAGTACCCCAGCTCCTCTTTCCACAGTCTCTCTGGGAAATTGCCACCTTTCTCAATCTTCTGAGCAGCTGCCATGGCACTAAACCTGTGGCAGGAGAGCAGATTGCTGACTCCACAGCTTACAAGTTCCTCAGTGTTCACCCCAGCACAGAGTGGGGGGTTAGAGCGTGGCTGGCTACCAGTGGACTCAGATCTGAACTGGGGACCGTTCTTTCTCTTTTAGTTGCAAGTTGGGAAGGATAAAAACTGCCCCCTCTCCCTAAGTGACGGGAAGGGCAAGCTGAGAACATAGATATGCAGCTTTGCAAATTTTAATCCTCTCAGCACCAAGGGGAGGGTATGTATTCAAAGCACAAAAGAGGCCTGGTCCCCGGAGATCAGCTCAGGGTGAGAGGCAGTGTTGAAATTCAGGCAGGACTTTTCATTGGAGACTTATCAAAGCAAATCATCCTAAAAAGGCTTCCTCACCTTTTAGTAAGTATGGAGCAAAGGTTCTCATGTGGAACATTCCAAAAAGCCTCTATTTAAAGCATGTTAGATGACCCTTCTCTTCCTTTCTCACCCTTTTCCCATGAGGGCATCCTGGGGGAGTGCTGACCTCCCCGCAGACAGAGGCCCTCTCCTGTGGTCCATCTGAAGCTGACCAGCTTTGGAAAGCTTTCCACCCCTTCCTTCACTGATAGGTGATCTGGGATCATAGAAGAGTGAATTCTCAGGGAAGAAAGGCCCTTGAGAATTCCTCTCTTTAAAGCTAGGAGGTACAAGTCCCACAAAGAAACTGCAACTGGCTCAATGGAGCACAGCCATCAGAGGCAGAGCAGGATGGGAACCCAGGCCCTGGCCCTCAGTCCAGTGCCTCCTTCCCCTCTGTCGTGCATGGGGAAGGAAAACACAGAATCTGAACGCTTAGAAGCAGGGTAGACTTTGCTGCTTAATTTGGGGCTGATCTATTCATGGTCCTCAGCCATTTGGAATTAAACAGCCCTTTGTCTCTTGGGTTGGGGACTGTGGCCTTGGCACCTCTACAGGCTTTGTGGTCATAGGGACTTTCACACCTCCATGCTGGGCTCTTTGATTAGTTCCAACATCCATGCTAAGGGTGTCTGTGTATCTCCTGCCCTGAACACTGCAGGTTCAGGTTATGAGGCCATGAGCTGAAAACAGGAAGAACTGGTATGCTACCGCCTGTGGGATCCCTTCGATGAGGGTTTGTGGTGACAAAGTGCTGCTGACACTCACGTCTTGGTTGGACATATCCCAGTAGGGTCTCTCTCCAAATGACATGACTTCCCACATGACAATCCCATAGCTCCAAACGTCGCTGGCTGAAGTGAACTTGCGGTAGGCGATGGCCTCTGGAGCTGTCCATCTCACGGGGATCTTCCCTCCCTGAAAGGAGAAAGCATGGTCAGCCCAACCATCAGGTTTCTGGTTGAAGGCAGGCAATAAAAAACTTGGCATGCACTCCTTTCAAACCCTCACTCCCGTATCTTGTGAATTATGACAGACAGGCTATTCTTGCCTCATGCACAAGCTATGTTGCTGTGCCTAGTTAGAGAAGCTCAAGGTGACCAGCATGCCTGTGCTGGCCTCTAGCCTTATGTGGACACACCACATGTGCCCTGGTTCCCTATATATTGATTCCAATGTTGCTGCAGGGGAGGTGGGTGGGAGGAGAGAGTGTAACTGTCATAAACTTATTGGAACTAACTGAGATTGGCTACATGAGATACAAGTTATGGTTTTCTTTGTTCCCTGGCAATGTAAAAGCTAACACATTTGGGTCAGAAGGAATCGCAATGATACAAAAGGCAAGAAGAGTGATGAAGCATGCCTCCTAGAGAGCCCTGCCACTACAGGGTCATGCTATGCTGCCCTCTGCCCCATTTTCATTGCATTCCACCTCTGGGGGGCAGGTTTTCCTAACTCTGTAGCCTGCAGATAGCCCCGGGTTTCACGAGGGTTGAATGGTCCCAGTGCTGTGGTCTTTCTACATGCTGACTGTCCTGCCAGCCCTTCAGTGGAGGTCAAGATTCCGGAGGCTGGAGATGCCCTTTTCTATAGGGCCGCCCTTAGGCTTGTTTCTCCTTCTTGCCTCCAGTCCCACAATGGAGCTTTCTAAATTGGCTCTCTGCTTGGCCCTCAGCTTGTCTGCCAGACCTTGGCCAGTTTTGTTTACCTAAGGGATTCATATCTCTCCATTCATTCATTCATCCCATCAAGAAATAGGCAATAAGCACCATTTTGTGCCAAGTCCTGCTGAGAAGCTGGTGTCCCAGAAATGAGCCAGTGTCCCTGCCCTCAAACTGAACAGGACAGTGGGGAGGCAGACAAGAAAACAGAAGCTTAAAATATATTGTTAAAAACATTGAAAAGCGAGAGAAAGTGAAGATGAGAGTAGGTACAAGGCATTCTGAAAACCAGAGGAGACTCCACAACCAGGGAAGGGTCGGGGGATGCAGGCAGGAGCTGGTAGAGAAGCAGTTTCTGATGGTGGTTAAAAACTCCTGGAGCCTTTGGCTGGGTTTGGATACCAGCACTGCCTCTTTCCACCTGTGCGATGGGGGCAAGTAACCTACCTCTCTGTGCCTCAGTTTCTCATCAGCACCTACACAGCCCAGTGTTAACTATTATTTTCACTATGCTCAGCCCTAGAGAACAAGTAGAAGTTAACCAGGCAAAGTGACTGCAGGAGAGAAGTCCAGGCAGAGAGCAGCTTGTGCAACGGCCAGGGATAAGAGAGAGGCTGGGACATGCAAGCAATCCACAATGGCTGAAGCACGGAGACCCTAAAGGAGAAGTAATAGGAGGTGAGCATAGAGCAGACGGCTGGCATGGCCTGTGCTGTCCAGTATCAGTGCCAATTACAGCTGTTAAACAGGGTGCTCGCCAAGGCTGCCCTCCAAAGCTCATCACTCCCTATAGCAAATATGGCCCCCCTTTTCAGTTCTTTATGCCAAATGCCAGGATTTCACCCCATCATGCTTTTTTCTATGCTTAGGCATTGTCTCACTCATAACACACGAAACATGAAGGGCTGGCTGCAGTAGTGACAGCACAGAGCGGGGACAGCAGCTCCCTCACTCCCCTCCTCATTTACCTCATGCTTCCACTGAAAGAGGATATTTTTATACTGCCCATTCTTACAATCTGCTCAAGTCACCAAAGATACATGGTTGACGTTAGCAAAAATACTGTAAAAATGTAAAAATGGGTAACCCAAGCTAGGGAGAAAAAAAAAAAAAAAAGGAGCAAACAGCAAAGTGTATTTTTATCTGGTTTCCTATCTGGAGCCTGGGAGGAATAAAGGCAACCAGGCTGGACCTCCCCAGGCACACATCCCACTTTCTGCAAAGAAGACAGTCCTGATTTCCCCTGAGGATGGGGGCAGGCTTTTGTGGTGGGGGAGATGTCCTCAGCTCAAATGCCAGCTACATGACAAATGCCTGGAGGGCATGTTCAGGCTGTGGCTGCCGCAGGACTCTCTGTTCTCATCATCCCCCAGAACATGAATGAATTTACTGGTTTTATCTACACGGTCCCCACAGCTGGGAAGAGAGGAAGAGAACTCATCCAGTGAAGCAGCAGCTACCAAACACCTGGAGGTCAATGTCTGATAGTGCAGAGACCCCAAGTTGTGTGTTGCCATTAGGGGAGGTGCTGTTGTCACACCTCGAGATGGCCTGGGCTCCCCCAGAAAACAGGGGCTCTGGTTCTCTCAAAATACCAGGGTCAAGCGAGGTAGGAGAGAGTTGGAGTTTAATTAGTATACTGCGTGTGTGTGTGTATGTGTGGGTGAGACAGAGAGAGAGAGAGACAGAGAGAGACAGAGAACCAGATTCTGTGTGAGAATGTATCAATCTGTGTGCGAGAGTGGGAGACAGAGAAAACTTGGCAGTGTAGATCTCTGAGTAAAAGAGAGTTAGGGCTTGCTTATCTTTTGTGTGTTTTTGTGTCAGAGAGAGGAGGGGAGATGACAGTGTGGCTCTTCTGAATTTCAAAGAGGTGATTTGGGAGTCTGAGACTGTCCTCCTCTGCCAAGTCTGGAGCAAACCCCAGGGGCTGTCAGTGACAGCTGTGGGGCCGCTCCCTCTTGCCTGGAAAGTGGAAGTGCTGGCCCACAGCAAGGAGCCTCCAGCCCTCCTGCCACCTTGCACTGTTGGGCCTCACTGAACACTGAGCTTGGCCTGTCACCGCCGCCCCCCCATCCCAGCAGGTGACTGAGCCTTCGAGAAGAGCCCCTGAACAGGCAGGTGACAGCTTGTCACGGCAGGCTCGCCCGCTCAGCTGAAGAGAAGGGGGACACTGACCTGGTAGCCAGAACAAGAGGAAATGCAAAGTCAGGGGGGCACAAGAGTGGGCACTTTGTTTCCTAGGAATTTTAAATCTTTCTTCTATCTTTTCAAACATCATTGTCAATGTTGCCTTCTGGTGCTCAGAAGTAATCAGGGTGATGATTATTGATATAATCAATATCAATTATTGATATAATTAATATTATCAGGTGATGATTATAACTTGTCTTCAATTATGTGAAAGAAAATCTATTAATTTAGAGGATGGTGACCAGCCCTGTGGAGGGAAGCAGAAGAAAAGGAAGTGGAACCACGCTGCAGCAGGCAGGGTTCTGCCAGCCAGGCGCTCCTGCCGCTGCTGCATGAGGAGCTTGGCCCAGACACCAAGGCCAACACAGTCACGTGAATGTAAAGTGCCCTAAGAGCCCCCAGCTCCCCAGTGCAGCCATGAGGAAGGGGCATAGAGGAGTGCTTGCTCCATTGGGTGGTGAGGAACATCAGGGAAAAATTCTCAGGGCAATGAAGAATGCATGGGGTTCACTGGAAAGGAATCTGCATTCATACAGACACAGAAGTGCTGACACTGGGCTTGGGGAGAGCACTGTCCCTGGCAGGGGTTTCTACAAGGTACCAGATGGCTTGCTTCCCGGGTGGATGCTAAGGGCATGGGTCTGCTTTCTGCAAGGACCGGGTTTCCCTAGAGCTGCCACAGGGGTCGCTGTTGGAGCATGGGGGAGGGAGAAGAGAAGAACAGAAGAGGCAGCTCACTATCATCAGGGTCTGAGTTCCCTTCAAGACTTCATACACACCTTCCACACAGAGTTTTGTATTGAATGGTGTTGCCAAGAATTCTTCAAATGTTTGAAAATCACTGCTTCAGAATAATTATGTCTTAACTCAGATATAAGATAAACTTAAGATTGTGTGTGTGTGTGTGTGTGTGTGTGTGTGTAGAATGTGGTGAACTAAGAGAAGATATCTGGCAGTGAATTAATCCTAACCCAGCTATCCTCAGGGTCATCTGCCGACCCACATCCACACCTGCTAGCAGGTGTGATGCCAACAGGTAGAAGCTCTTGGTGTGGAGGCACTTTAGTCCCTCAGCTTCAGACAGCATGCAGCAAGCATCTATGTAGCACCCATTCTGTCCTCAGTACCCTGCTGCGGACATGGTAATGATGAGCCTCAGCCCTACTCTCAATAGGCAATGGATGTACCTAACACCATCCAGCCAGCACACTGTCTTGCCAGAGTGAGGTCACATAAGTACAACACATAGCTTTGGTTTTAGAGCCCACCCAAGTATGAAGTTTTCCAGGTCAAGGTCCAGGCATATGACTGATTCCTTTTGCTAATTACTTATTGTTGAGAATCCCAGAGGGTAGTACTTCTATGTGTCTGGTCATTGCTACAGCACTTTTCTCCACCGCCTTGTGTGAGACGAAGTCTCAATGGGATTATGGCAGAAATCCAGCCACTCATGAATATTGAGTATCGTGTTCATGGACTTGTTCACCAAATATTTCAGTTGTGCAGCATGAGAGAATCCCCTCGATGTTTGGAAGTGATAGGTTCATGGCTGAGTGTATCATGAAATGGCTCTGAATTTCATAATGCCCGCTATTCCAAAAGGTTTCTAATATATAAAATACATTGAGGTTGTTGTGAAAATCCAATATGATAGATATTTAAACCACACAATATATTCTTATTATCATTAAATGGTAAATTATTGAATGTTGTGTATTGAGTTATATCCCCGCAAAAGACATGTTGAAGTCCTAACCTGTGATAGCTGTGAATGTGATCTTACTTGGAAACAGGGTCTTTGCAAATATAATCAAGTGAAGATGACATCATACTGGATTAGGATGAGCCCTAAATTTCATGCTGGCATCCTTATAAGAAGGCCGAATGAAAATACAGCAACACACCAGGGACAACACCATGTGAAGATGGAGGCAGAGATTGGGGTGATGCATCTACAAGCCAAATTACATTAAGAATTGATAGCAACTAGGAGAGAGGCATAGAATAGATCCTCCCTAGAGCCTTCAAAGAGAGAATGAGCCTGCCAACACCTTGATCTCAGAC